TTACTGCGCCATGAGGGGAAGAGGTAATCAGAGTAGGGAGGTAGAAAGTGAATTGTGGCGAATCCCATAACAAAACCTAGATTCATCATTGTGACCCACTTTACAAAACAGCAATGAACCATATAGGCTGCCCCAATGCATAACACTACTGTTCGTCCTGCGCTGCCACGTGGCGAATTTGTAGCGCAACTGAAATGACAATCCCCGCGTGGCAACCATATTTACGGAATTCATACATATTGGGATCGCCAATTACTCGTGACAAATTAAGATCACCAATTACACGTGGCAAACAGATAAGCAAGTCCATACCCAAGGCATGATTATTTTGTTGCCACGTGACCAAACCTTGTGGCCACATCCCATCTTTCTGTCTAGCATTCTCTAACCTACCCCTTTGCGTCACCATTTCACCCCCACACATCCTTCTTATTTTCCACTCACTCCATTCGGCCACCCCACTTGCCCATCCCCCAAATCAAAATCCAACGAACTAAAGGGAAACAAGAAGGAAAGGAAGGGGGAGAGGGGAGGAAGAGAATCCCCAATCGCATTTGCCCCACCATGAGAATCATCATTGTTATTCCTGCTGTTGTCCGTGTTGGCACGGACAATGTTGATTTGTTTTTGTTGCTAATGTAATCAATATTTCTCCCCTACAAACACGAACTCGAAATCCCTCTTTCCCTGCCGCTGTCCTGCACGGTCTTATCGTCGCCGATGCAGTTAATATTATCAATACTAATGGCCTATACATATGTGAGCGTCGTTTCAGCAGGCCTGTCGTTGTCATTGTTGTTGTTGTTGTTGTTGTTGTTGTTGTCGTTGTTGTTGCTGTTGTTGTTTTTATTATTGCAGATACCGACATCATTGTCCTCGTTTCTGTCAGTTTTGATAGCGTTGTTTGCGACGGAGTTGATGTCATGTACGCCATCCTCAATTTCATCGTCTTCTTCGTAGCATCGGTCTTCCAATGTACGACAAAGAGTTTGTCCCTCCTCAAGCTCCATATAATAGTACCGCATCAGGCCTTGCAACCGTAGTTGATCCATGCGTACTTCCTGATGGGGGGAATACCCCTTCTCCAATCCCCATGTAATCTCCATCAGACTTCGTTACGCATCCTTGATCCATAAAAAGCGACGACATCATCCTTTCGGTCGCCGCCAATCTCAACTTTGCCACCAACTGACTTAGACGCGCGCTGCTCACTTAAATTGTAGTAAGCCATGCGGCAACACCCGTCCGTTGTTCATCCAGACTCGCCATCGCCAGATTCGCCATCACCAGCCACCACTCTGCACACCCCTGTTGTTATTGTCCCAATCGGTCGAGAGAGAACACGCTAACTCTCCTGAATTATCTTGGAGCAATTGCGCCTATGTGTCGTCCCCTAAGCTGCCACGTGCGAACCCCGCATACGCCCAGGCCATACGCTGGGCGGGCAGTAAGACAACCAGGCGCAACAATGGCAGATGCCCACCACGGCTCCAGTCCACGGAGTACGGTCGGGCCCTGCTGACCGGTCCGTGACGCAGATTAGCGCTGTATGGGCGCAGAAGTACGCTCTCTCCCTCTCTCTCACACACACACACACACATTCTCCTTTGTCAATAGAAAGTCGCAGTGCGATGACCATTTGCTCTCTGTTCGAGGGTCCACCATAGCTATCCTGTTCTCGCCACCTAGACTAAACCTGGACCAGTAGTTTATCATGGCAGCACTCCCCAGATCGCCACTGGATTGTCTTCCTCCCTCGACTAATCCCCATATCTCTCTTCAAGGCCTCACACTCCTGCCATTTGCAGGTTACAGGGCAACGCCCCAGCTTCGGCCAGCGTTGTTCTGGCATCGGCATACCAGGAGTACAAAACAAAGCAACGATGTACATATCGGCCCGGATTCGACCATCTCTGAAATCTTATATCTCGAATGAGGAAGAAGGACAAAGACAGCCCATAATTACAAAAAAACAGAAAGCTTGATATAACATGATTGATTGATTTCTATTTTAAAAATACAGCAAATCCCCTCTCGCTCCCCCTTCCCTTCATGTTCCGTCATTGCCTTCGCCAATAAGTTTTTCGTAATGTAAACAACCCTATCAACCCCAACTGGGAACAGTCTCCACTCTCCTACTTACCAACCCCAGATGCATCCAATTCCCACCCAAAGTATGCCTCTGTCTCTCCCCTACCCTAATCTGCCTCCGCTGGAATTTATCTTCAGCCCCAGAATCGAGTATCCCTCACAACTTTGCTCATACTCTCTTCAGGGCGTACACTACCCACCTTGTGACACCCTTGCAGAGCAGAGATCCCCCATCCATAATCATCCAATCAAAAATCAGCAAGAAATTACATACCCTTGGGAGAGCAAAAATAAATATGAAGTGGCATATTATCAAAGATCTAGATAATAAGTCTGATAACATAAGAAAAAAACTATGATTGAAGTACATTTGGAACTACAAGACAAAAAAATTGACCTGAAATGGTAGTAATTAATGTTTAAATTCAAATGGTAAATAATGGTAGATACCAGGCGTGATACACCTGAAACAGATTGGAGAACAGACTAAGGTAAATTAAATTATTAAATTTTATATGAAATTTTAGGTATTATAAAATACCGTTCCAATTTCAGCACGTGATTCCACAGTTTCAGGATAGGAATAATCAGATATATTAATTAAAGATGATCACACTGGTTGATAGTTCAGATGATTAAATGAGATGATGATTAGAAGATTGTATAATAATTGATTAATTGAGGATAAAATAAGGAAAGTGGAGGTTTTTGGTAACTAGATCAAACAAAGAAGTAATGAGAGAAAAGACAATTTAAGAAGAGTAAAGTCAGTATCCGTACGATGGGTGAGACTTCCCCCTGTCCCCCTCTCCTATTTTAACCCTTCCTTCTCTTCCTTCCCTTCTTTCTCTGTACTCCCTCCCTCTCTCATCGCCTCCCTCAACCCTGAGGTCCTGTCTCTCCTTACCCCGCCTCTTTCTTCCGTATTGCGCCTCTCCTTCCCTCTTCCTCGCACCTGCCTGTTCATTCATTGCGATCACACTTGCTCGCCTCCTTATCAAGATTGGTGTAAGCGTTACCAACGATCGAACTAGCAATGGGTTAAAGAAGAGTTAAAGGAAGTGCTCGAGAGAAAATCAGAAAGAGGATAGAGTAAATAGACAAGAGGGTGTAAAGGGGACAACACAAAAGAAAAAATGCAGAGAATAGAATGCGGGATATGGGGATGAAGGTGGAGTGAAAAGGGAGTTAGTAGGAAAAAAACTACTCCCCCTTTGTACCTGCTCACCATGACTACTAATATGATTCAAGATGTTGATAATGAATGATGATGATATTCCCCTGTTGATGCAGCATAGATGAAGCGGAAAAAACGACGATCAGCCGGCTGCCAAAATTCGAGCAGAAGCCTCCACCCTTGTAACGAGCCCTTGACGACACTTGGTGGCACTTGGACGCCCTCCTCGAGGACCTCCCACTCACTATCTGCCGACAATCCTCCTCCCACTCCACGAGACACACTATATACTCTTCTCTTTCTTGTGATGAGCCAACCTCCTCCACCAAAATTTGCAAGATGAAGCGCACTAGTGATTACTCATGAAGTAATGCCCAGTTAAGCAATACTCCCCTTCATCCGGCATGCTAGCCTGTATTATCACTCGTTTGAAGTACGAGGCAGAGAGATGGCAGTAGACCTGCTTTCAAAAGTCAGGGAACAGCAAGTGATGAGGTTGAAGCCTTAGATGCCAACCCATCCCCTCCTCTTCGTGGATTTCGGCTAAGCTGGCCCCCCTCTCACTCGTACTCACTGCCGTGCTCACTGATGCACGCATTCGCGCGGTTCACAATCATGTGAGCGCCTTCGCACACGAAGTCGTGCACGGACACTCACGTCACAATGTGGCGCACGTGCACCATCACGAGCACTCGCAGTAGAATGCACACGAAGTCGCACGTGCGCCTGCGAAGTAACGGAGACGGTAGCCATTGATCTCGACTCGTCAAACAGTACAATGGCTAAAGGTCAAAGCACCTTCTTACCCATACCCTATTATTCACAAGGAACCAAATCTAACCTAGAAAACAGAACTACCAACCAACTATTTTAACAAACAATCCCCCATGACTATCACTTTTCTGCCCTTGTAACAGGTCCAAAACTGAAATTAGTTTTTTTTGTTTTTTGCCTGTTTTTGTTTTTGTTTTGTTGTGCACCAAATTTGGTCTCATTTGGAGCATTGGAATTTCCTCTGCTAAGATTTCCTTGAAATTTCTCAAGATTTCTGGAGCTGAATGTTGGCGAAATTTGCATGAAAGTGCACTTTTGCCTTGCTGTTTTATAGTTTTTTTTTTTTTTCGTTTGTTTTTTGGCAGTTAGGGAAAAAAAAAAAAAAACTATGATCTCTACTCTCTGTTTTGGTGGCAAGTTCGGTTAAAACGACCCTTGAATTTTTGGGCGGGCCGCCATTGATAAAATTCGTCAATGGTCAAATTCATTAGTGGCCTCAGTCGCGTTTTCCGGCCTCCGAAAGTTGTGGTGAGGGGCAAGTGGCCGTGTATTTTGCCGGGGGCTCAAAATAACAGAGAGCCGGCGCGGGCCTCTTTTTGGCTGGGGCCACCAGCCATTTTGCTCCAACTGCTGACCCCCAAAAGTTGCGGCAGCATGCAAGGAGTGTCGGACAAAAAGGGCTGGGAAACGTATAGGTGGGGATGGGGGGTAGGGGGGGGGGAGTAGGGAAGATGGTTTTATTTTTTTATTTTTTTTTTTATTATTATTATTTGGTTTTGCAGTTGCTTGATTAGTTGTTGGGGTAAAAGCCCAATCTACCTAAGCTGGGCACTGGACCCAGTAGTCCTTGCCTGTCCCAAAAGAAAGGACAAAGAGAGAAATCGGGAGGCTTGGCGGAGGGCTGGACATTTCTGTCGCGTCACAGCAAACGGTAGCGATATCAGTGCGAAGTGACACCTCACCAGAACATAGCGGTCATTATCCAGAACGTTGAAGGCAATCTGGGAGTTTTCCTGAAAAATGATGTGATTCTCGCGCTCGGTGCCGGTAGGTAGGCCGTGCACCGAAGGCCGGAGTCACGCAGGTTGGTCGACCTGTTGCTGGCGGACTATGGCGGACTCTTTCCGCGCCCAGTAGAACTCCCTGCTGTCACGACGAGCGCAAGGAGGAGACAGGTAAGTATGTACAGGACCTGGCCCTCCCCCTTCCCCTTTCTGTTAGAGTCTGTGTGTGTGTGTGTGTGTGTGTGTGTGTGTGAGAGAGAGAGAGAGAGAGAGAGAGAGAGAGAGAGAGAGAGGAGAGGGGTAGGAATATGCTGTAGCTGACGGCAGGAAGAAGCGAGATGGGAAAGGCGTAGGGGGGCTATGGGGAGGAGAGAGATTGGATGACGATGATGATGACCAGAGGGGGGTTAGGAAGATGAGGATGCTGATGTGACGAAGCTGGAGCGGGAAAAGGGGGAGGAGTAGACTCTGGTGATTTCGTTTATTTTTTTCTCTCTCTCTTTTTTTTTTTTTTTTTTTTTTTTTTTTTTTTTTTTGAACGTATCCACATTCTATTGGTGGGGAGCAGCACCTTCTGTTGGTGGGGAGCAGGACTATCACTGTATGTTTGTGGTACGCTGGAAACCATTTCTAGCGTACCATAAAAATACGCTGGAAACCATTTCTAGCGTACCATAAAAATACGCTGCATACCATTTCTAGCGTACCATAAAAATACGCTGGAAACCATTTCTAGCGTACCATAAAAATACAGAAGTACTAATGAACTGCTGCTCTAGAATATGTGTGCTGCTTTCCTGATAGTGCTGGGGCGAGAGGCATTGATCACTTCTCCATGGAGAAGGATTAACCTCCCGCTCAGTCCTCCTTTTCTTTTTTTTCCACTTTTTTTTTTTTTTTTCCAGGTACCCCTTTTAAAATGTATAAATAAGTATAAACAGACTTTTAGATGGGGAAAAAGCTAACGTCGGCTACCACGTGTGCGTCTGGAGGGTTAAGACCCCTCGAGATGGGGGGGATACCTGTTTATAAGTGCATGTAATGATGCCACGTGTCTACTCTATAGGAGATGCCACATGTTTCGTGATCGGCGTCGTACTCTACAGGACAAGACGCGCTCAGTTGATGTCACGTGTCTATCTGGGGAGTGGAACCCTCCCCAGAAAATCTGATCGTGGTACCCTCTCTCTCTCTCTCACCCTCCCTCTTTCTCTCTCTCTCTCTCTCTCTCTCTCTCTCTCTCTCTCTCTCTCTCTCTCTCTCTCTCTCTCTTTGCCCCCTCCCTCTCTCTCTCTCTCTCTCTCTCTCTCTCTCTCTCTCTCTCTCTCTCTCTCTCTCTCTCTCTCT